TATTTATGAATATCTTTACAAACACATGTCTATAGAACCCTATAGAAAACCAGCTAGAAACAAGCTTCATGACTACATCTGAATACCAAAGCAGTGGGCAGACTGGAGTTAAAAGCTTAGTGGTTAACCAGTCAACCCCACTCACTGCTCTGAACACCACACACATGCCATGCCAAGCTTGACTGCAGTTTTAATAAAAACTGCAAAATTTATGAACAATGAGAACACAGACATAATGTAACTAAATTCTGGTAATGCACTTGATGAAGTGCCTTACAAAATCTCATTTGTCTGATCAGTTCGGATCGGTTCAAATGTGAGTGCTACCACATTTAAACAGAAGATAAGAGACAATAACATTATGAGCATGCTGGATCAGTTTCTTAAATTGAAAAGAAGAAGGGAGTTAACTTGCAGGTTAAATATGAAGTTAGCAAAACAGTGGTTAAATGTTCCTCGGGATACGATAAAGTGACAGCCATATGCCTCAGTGGGCACAGACTTCTCAGGTAATATAGGACAACTTGCATCCCTCATATCACACCGCACAATAACAATGAGGCTTATTTGCATTTCCGGGATCTCTAATGGGACAAAACCTGCATTGAAGACTGTAGCTTTGACATCAGCATTGAGCCTGACATGAGCTGTGCATAGAGAAAAAAAGGCAGTTGGAAAAGAAACACCTTTAGTAAGAGAGATGCCTGATACAGCCAGGCTTTACTTGAGGATTCTGCAAGTGAAGCACTATAGATGGCTTCCATGATTTTTCCTATCTCTAACCTATAGGATACAGAAATTCACCATGCAAGTCCTTACATCTCAGCATTAATACTTATTTGACAAGAATTAGGAGGAGTGACAAAATGGAGAGCTAGAATCTAGTTTTAGTGTTATCAGCATCCTTACTGAACACCTTCTGGAAGAGGAGTAAAGCAATGCCTGTAATGAAACATGCAGGCTGTACTGTGTAGTGAGGATGAGACAGGTGCATGAAAGCATGAGTTAAGGCAAAAAAAATAAAAAAGATGCAGTTTGAAAAGATGGTAACTGTTACTTTAGGAGGAAGGGTAGCTCAGAACAGAGCCTCAAGAGGAACAATGCTGAAAGCAGAACTGCTGAGGGACAGTTCCATTCAGAAGTGGGGAACAGATCAGACATATTTACTGAAATAAGGTACAAATGCTAAAACCTTTGTTTTGTTTTTCTTATGGATTTCTGTTAAAAGAGTTGCAGAGAAGGAAACGTTGTGACATTCTGTCAGGACTGAAGGTTAAACAATTATGGGAGTGGAAAGAAAAGTCAAAATAGCAGACAGGAGGAGCTGACAGTTTTATTAAAAAACAAAACAAAGCAATAAAATGTATCTTGCTTATAAGACCACTGAGAATAGGGAATGCCTTCAAATATCTGAAGAAAGAAAAATCCCAGAGCTAGACTAAAATTCTGGGAATACAATAGGATACAGCACTAAATGAAATGGGAATAAGGCTCAAGCTGAGAGGCCTGAAGAACTTTTACATAATGAGGAATCAGGTTATAAAGCCGTTTCTTAAGGCAAATGACTGTTGGTTGCACAAATGCTTGATACATTTAAAACAAGACCAGACAAGTAAATGGATGAAACTCTACAAAAGAGCTTGTTACTGAACCATAGTACTTAATGGAATGTAATTTATAGCTCTGTATTTGTGCTCAGTTACAGACAAAGAGGAACTTACTCCTGCTGCCCCATTACTTCAAGGAGACATTTCATAAGGTACAACATGCAGTTTCCAGCTTCATTTGAAATAGCCAATTATTTGCTGACCCAGAGTTGCTAGCACGTAGGACAGGTGGCTCTATGGGGTGAGAGGGGATAATCTCCCTTGCAAAACAAGCCCATTATTTCACCAAGGAGCAAGTAAGAAGGTTCAGGGTGAGGCTGGTGAGTTACTTCAGAGGAAACGGCTCTACCTCTTGAGATGTCTCTGCGACTGCCTGGACAGATGAGCAGGAAGCTGGGAGCTGCTGACCCAGTGGCTGGGAAAGATCAGGCTGGAGCTGCAGCAGACCAGAAGGCTGAAGAGGCAGACAGTGATCTAAGGGGACAGGCGGACTCGCTGTAGCAAGGCTGCCATGAATCTGTGAAAGGCCTTCTGGAGCGACGTGGGGAGGCAGCAGGTCAGGCTGCAACTGCAAAGGCGGTGACATGACTATTGAAGGTTGCACAGGCAGCACGGGCACCTGGGCTCCAGCTTCCAAAGCATACTGAGTGTGTCCAGTAATCTGTTGTAACACAAAGACAGCTATTAAAACAAAGCTCTAATTAGAGTGCTCGTGATTTACACGACAAGGTACAAAAGCCGCTGCAGTTTATGGCGAAAGGATTGTAATTATGCAATGAGACTGTATTTGTGTGGTCTCTGCTTGGACAGGCAACTACGTAAGAGTTTAAACTTGCTTGGAAACAAATGAATAAAAACCTAAGAGTCCTTCCTATATAATTATGACAACATGTGTATTGCTCAGGTGCTATTTAATTTGTAGAAACAAAGACATATCTTGCTAAGAAATAAAAATCTTACATTATTAGATTAATGTATTGCCCTGAATAGTTTGCTCTCTGCTTTCAGTAAGCCTACCACAAAGTCCATGCAGAGGAAAATACACTCTACCCAAAATCTAAATTGGGGCTTTTAAAAAGTCTGCTATATATGAGCTGGTATACCGCATACAATTCACTCTTTTTTATGGAATAAGTACCAGTGTCTTAAGGAAAACACTGTTTTTCATTTAGTTTAAACGTGTAAGACACAACTTAACTGTTGACATGCTAGGCACTAAAGCCTCAATCCTGCAAGCACTGCCTCGTGTTCTGCACAGAGGAAGTTTCATTTATCTCAGTGGATTTCTTCAGTGCATTAAAATAACTCCTGTGCATAAGCACTTTGTGGGAACTCGGTTGCTGTGATTAGATGCCAGCTACTTTAGAGACTATGCTGTTGCTCTGCATAACACTTCTTTTGAGTTGTACACTTAAGAACAGAACATTCTCTTTTCAGGTACATCATGTATTTTTCCAAGCGGACTGAGCTTGTGGGAAGAGGAAAAAGGAAAGAAAGGAAAATATGAAAGACAAAAGGCTTTTTAATACTAGGTAAAACTCTGCCTAATTTTTACTTTTTTAAAGTACCACCACCTAGAGAGTTAGGCTATTTGGAGAATATGTTAAAAAAAAAATAAATCAAGACTCAGATGAGAACTAGGCCACACAATTTCATTACCTCACGCCCTCTGCAGATTCTGGATATGAGCTGCAATTATTATTCTAGGTTTAAAAGTGGATAAAAGTAAGGATGCAATGTACTTTGCAACACCAGTTACATGACTGCCAAAGCAGAGACTGTCAGAACAGCAACTATGGTGTATGTTGCAGAAGAGCAGTGAATTTTTTTTTTTTTTTCCATTTTTTTTTAAATCTTATATAAGTAGATGAATTCACAAAATGTTTCAATGGATAATTTACCTGGGCAAAACTAAACTCAGAGGTTCTAAACATCAACTGCCAAAACATTACTGCACTGGAAAAGCTTTAATTACAGAAATACCTCTCCAGTACAAGTGCTTTGAAACACAGAAAGATGTCTTTTTGAATATTCCCCTGCATTTGTCCATTTTGTTTGCAATCGCTACCTTTTATCCTAAAAATATTACTATGTAATTCTTCCATACATATCTGATAGGTAAGGACTGTGTCAGGACAGTCTGGGAATATCAGTTCTCCAGCGTTGGTGTTTGCCACGTTTGCTTTCCCCTTTTTGGTCCAAATTCAATTCCATCTAAAGCCCTTGGAAACACAATGGCTAATGAGCTCAATGGTAACCGTCTTGGGCTCTGTGTTGCCTACATTATCACAAACATTATTTCTGAAGAGAGAAATTTAAAAATTCCATACCACTTTGAAGATGCCACAATATGGTAAGGTTGAAATGGGACGTTATGAATTTTAATCAATGTATTATGGAAAAGTGATACGATATAACACAGATTTTTCAAGAATGCTATTTTTAACAGATTTAGTGCACTATCCCGCTTCGGCCAAACCGCATTTCACGTTCTCATATCATAGACGTGGCAATAGAAGTATTTACAGACTCTGTCAACAAGTCCTGAACCAGTTCTGCAAATAGCGCTAACATTACAAGCTTCAGTTTACGCTGCATTTCTTTTGAGAGGGAAAGGGCCTGCAGCTCAAATTCATTCTTGTCTGACAGACCTCTTCCCTGCACTCTTCTGGAGCCACGTGGCCATTTCCCTTTACTGTTTTAAAGCAGTTCTGCATCAAAACAACTCTGTCCCTCCTGCCAGCTTGCCCGTATTTTGCCAGGAGCACGTAGCAGCCTCCGCACCACGTGCAGACCAGAGGAATGGCACCGGCGAGGCTGTGTGGCTGCTGCCACAGGGGACTGGCAGCTCACACTTCCTTCATATTGGAGATGGGAGAAGGAAGAAGGAACTCACAAAGCACTCTCTGGAAAGCCTGCTCACTTTCTGAGGCCCGTAAGATTATTCCCTATATCCTATTCACCTGTCCCTGGATTGAGACCTCACCTGTTCCACCCGATGTCACAGCTCTAGCAACAACCTCCAGTACTGAGGTCCAGAAGTTAATAAAACATCTTAAAATGAAAAAAACCACCCTCCCCACTGTGTGCCCAGCATGGCCACAGCCCCACACCCAGTGGATCACCTGGTGAGCAGCCCCGGGCGCAGGCAGAGTCTGGTCTGGGGGATGAATTATGCTTGGCTGGAGTGACGGAGGAGGTGGAGGTTGCTGCGGCTGGGACACCGCTGGCGTGCCCTGCACGTGGTGGGGAGAGGGAGCTTCGCTCTGGATGATCTGCTGGAAAGTGGTCTGGTATACCTGCTGCTGGGGGAGCTGGGGCACCCCATGGTGTGGTGGCAGAGCTGGGACTCCTGGCGGAGCCACAGCAAGCAGCGGTATCGTAGCAGCCGACATGTTTGGCACTATCGTTTGGCAGGGCAAGACCAAAGAAGCCACGGTGGTATGAGGAAGGTTGACGGCCTGCATGGGGAGGGCAGGGGAGTTTGGTGCCATAGGCAGAGTGGGGTTCATGGGGAGGCTGGGTAAAATCACGGCTGGAGCAAAATACTGAGAAGGAGCAGGTATGGGGGGCACGTTTGCAGCAGGTATATCAGAGAGGTTTGGAGGAAGGCTGTCAAGTCCTGCCAGAGGAGTAATTGCAGGAATGACAGGAAACTGAGGAATCTGAAAAAAATATAATATTACATAAATCGCAAGTGTTTTCACTGATGGTACGAAGTAGTTTCATTTGCCATACAAGTACATAAAAATCCCCTGTGCCACGATGATAATTATGTCTGTTTGTTAATCACTTCCATTCATTTCCCAAGGTTTATAAACAGTCGTAAAAATGGATATATGCTTAAATCATTAGTAAAAGAGAGAAAAAATAATTCATTTCAGGGGTACTTTTTTATACTTTAGAAGGTTAAAACTATTTCTAACACTAGCTTGAAGCATTCAAAGCAACATAGTAATTAAACATTGCTTTCATTTGAACAGAAATGAAAAGCAATTGCACCAGACAAAATGCAAAACTCTTTCATGCAAAATCCAGTAAGGCAGCTTGAAACCCATGTCTTTAAACAGGCTGGCTGCAACCCAGGCAGCACAGAAGATCCCACAAAAGGGTTTTTACAATCAAAACCTCCCAGTGACATAGCAGACCAGAACTACCCTGTCATCACAGAAGCAGCTTGCTTCTTCCTTTTGGTGCAAACTGCTTCACATCATGGTGGCTGTCACTGGCAAACACATTAATAGCACCAACAAAACATTTCAGGCCAAGGAAAAGGAGTTTCAGCCCTTTCTGGAAATAGGGCTGAGAGCTGGGGAGGTAGGCAGGGGGGTAGTGGGGAAAGTGGTAAAGTCAGGAGCTCAGAAAAAGAATAAAAATGGGCAACTTCTCATGCTCTGAAGCTTGGGATGGGGAAGAGAGTATGCCAGAGGGGAAGGTGTAAAAAAATAGAAAAAAAAAAAAAAAAAGGAGGAAATGCAGTTATTGCAATTTTGTAACTGCCATTAACTGCATTCTCTAGGCATGACACAGGGTTACTTACAAAGGAGATTTTTTTTTTCACCAAACAAAAACCAAACCATAAAGAAAAAAGCAAGGAATTAGGAAAAACCTAATACACTCATAGACTAATTAAACTGGTGTGCATTCAAAATAGCCACACAAAAACCTGCAAATCACGTTAATTATTAGCTGGAAAGCTTTACTCAAATGGATGTATTCACAGAGGTTGCAAAGATATTACCTGGGAAGGGGCCACTGGTGGAAGCTGTGGTGGCACAGTTGAAATCTGAAGGGGTTTTAGTGGTGTACTGCTAGCTGCCACCTGAGAAGTCTGGGGTTGATACTGGGGTAACAGATGGGTTGCGGGCTGTATTGGGCAAACTGGCTGGCTGGTAAGAACCTGCTGCAGAGAAGCTTGCTGTGATATGGGTTGCTGCTAGGAAAGAAAAGAAGAATAAAAATAAAAAAAAAGATTATAGCCTGTATAATCAAAAGAACAGTCCCCTGGGTACAGCTGCCTTCTTCTCTCCCCACTTCAAGCTGCACTGTCGCTCAGGGTAGGGATGGAAGAGAAAGGTGCTCCTCATTTAAAGACTCTCCAAGAGCCTATGTTTAAAACACATTTAAATGCAAGATACATTACCTGAAAAGACAAGTTCTAAGTGTCTTGGAAAGGTTATTTGGAGTGACTCAGACTCTTTAAATCCCTGAATTTGTTCTAGTTGGCACTGCAAAATCCCCACCTACTAACTTCAAAGACTCATTCCTACTGTTCTGATTATACTCGGCTAATCTTGGCATTCAAAAGCTGACTACATAATGTAGCAGGCATTGATCTATACAACATTTATTATCTGAGACATGAATAAAACAATAATTATAGTAAAAGCTGGATCCTAGTTATTTCTGAAGTGCTGTAGTAACAACATGGCAGCCAAAACAGCAGTTTTACCCTTCTAGGGAAAACAGTACTCCACTGGCCTGACAGATTTTACACAGCACAACAGAAACAAAAAGCGACTTTAAAGTTGAAAATAATCAGTAACAAACTTCCACATTGTCCATGCTACTGGTATTGCCTTCTTCAGTGCCTCTAAATAACGATCAAGGCACTTTAAAAAAATCTTCTGTTTCAGAAGTATGGCACCAAGGCATTAAGTTGTCCTTGGACTGACTTTTGATTCCTTCACCCAGGCTCTGCAGCACACAGAACCTAACACCATGCCCGATGGTCACAGGATAACTTCAAAATAAACAGCCAATCATTATAATCTTTCATCTCTGCCATTTACAGTGTAAATGAGTATTGTAATATTTTGCTCTGCACTATTTTAGTTGCAGGATGCTTCAATCAGTTTTTAGGTATTAATACAATAAAACTGCCTGATAGCATGAGCTCTGCAACACAGGAAAGTCCTGCCAGACCCAACCCAACCTCAGAAGCAGAACACTTGCACACAGTGCTGGGCTGGAGCTCATGAACTTTGCCAGCACCCAAAGCCAGGTCAGGTACCTCACAACCCCTGCCTGGGTTAATCTGCAGCTTAGGCAGGCTGCCCACAGATAATTGAGGATTGAGCACAGGAATACAGAACACAGGCTGCTCAACTCACCTTTGACTCAAGAGGACACTGCATTAAAAGGAAATGAATTGTGGTCATGGAACTAAGTGGCTTCCTAAAGCCTCAATTTCAAATTCAACTTATGTTTTACAAAATGCTTGTGAACTGGCTGAGGCATAGGGAATGGAAAACATCGCAATCAATTATGCTAACTTTGCCCCATTATAACCATTACATTATAAATGCAGGTAGCTAAGTTGGAAAAAAATTGGAGATGCAACATTGATCTCATGTGTCTGATCCATCAGTGTATACTCATACAAGATCAATATGTTTCATCCTGTTAGGCAGGTGAATTTTCTCACCCTGATTTCCCCTTCATTTGTTGACCTGCCCTATCATTCATTTACAAAAGACTCCAGATCTCCACTGTTCGTGGCATCATGCCTGAAGACTCTGGGAACATCAGACCTACTTCTGTCTGAGGCACACAGTTGTTCTGGGAAGCTCTGCACAGAAACTGTATCATTTTACCTATTTCTGCAACAATAATAATACTATTGTAAAAAGTCAGTCTTTTATTGGACTTTCTGGCAAGATCAGAAAACAAAGACAGACTAGCTATTAAATCCTTTTACTAACAGGGATAGAACCATTTCAAGAGACAGCAACACTGAGGAGACAGCACGTGAAAGAGATCAGACACGTTGGGCAATTATCACGTTCCAAACCAGTATTTACTCGCAGGAGAAAATAAACAACAGATTTTGAACTGTTAGCATAAAGCTCCAGAGGACACTAGAGAGATCTGTGCAACCAGTGAGGCCCTAAATTACCTAAGTGTGAAATTTTGGGCTGAGAAAACCATGAGAATATCCCTGCCCGCTAGAAAAAAAAACCTGATATATGACTACATTTCACATAAGCATGTTTTTCAAGGAGACCAAATTACATTGCTCCTATACTGATGCTTTCAGAAGAATATGGCACGTTAAAAAAAAATAAAAGGCAACCCGAGTTAAAGGTTGGTAACTAAAATGGTTTGGAGAGGCATAATACATGCCAGGCACAAAGTACACAGACATTCCTCAGCCCTGTCAACAGTTTCTACAGAAGGAAGCCAAACTTTTGGTAGAACTACAAAAATGAGCCACAAGTTACTACTTGGTGTCAGACAATAATGCAAAATTAATAAAAAATTATTCCAATTTATGGACCAAGATAGTACACTGAAATCAGCGCAGGGCTTTAAGCCGATGCTGTTAAGCCACAAGAGAAGTCTTAAACTATACCAAAAATATTCCAAGGTATTGTACAATGATTGCCCTCAAGCCCATTACTCTTCCATGCCTTAAACCCAACGTCCTTTGCCCCATCCTCAAGTAGCAGTTTTGTAGTTTCAAACACCTCAAATCTGCTACAGGTAGGGGTTGGAGCGGTGCAGGGGTAAGGAACAGGATAAGAAAAGCACTTTTCAGCAGCAGCCAAGCCCTTACCTGCTGTCCAGCCAGCACTGGCTGCGGCTGCCCCAGCTGCAGGGAGGCAACCGTGGTGGGCTGGACGACGGGGAAGGACATCACTGGCTCCTGGTAGTGCTGGGGCCGCTGGGACACCACAGTGGGTGCAGCTGGAACGGCAGGAAGGCCAGGCTGCAGGGGGAGAGAACTTCAGAGAAGAGCAACACTCCCGCTGAGAGACTCTACTGCTGTCCGTCAAGTAATTGCAAGTAAATAGTCTATGCAGTACTTCATTCAAAATAAAGAGGGGGAAAATATGAAAAATTATCTGCAAGGAAAATTTTAATCTAGAATCTAAATCTAATGGAAAAGATGGAAAAAAGTTATCCAATTCTAAAGCAAGCAAACTGTTGCATTTCTTTCTGCTGGAAGCAAGCATGCAGACCAGTAAAACCACTGAAAGCACACATGCAGCGACTGAGAACACACCAACAGCAACAATAAGCCATTAACTGGGTGAAACAGAAATTGATCTTCACAAAGACTTTTATCATTTCATAAAGAATCTTTATCTTAAAAAAAAAAAACTCAGACAATATACTTGAAATGGATGCCAAAAAAGCAAATAGGGGAATGAGAAACAAATTAAAACTAGTGGCAGTAAAATAAAAAATAATTACAAGAAATTCAGGTAAGGTTTGTAACAATAGCAGTTTACTAAAACTTCAGCTCAAAGTAGGTAAAATACAAATAAATAGTATGTCAGACTGAGGCTCATAAGCCTAAAAACACGTCTAATACAGCTCCATTATGTGCTTGTTATCTTGACCAATAAATCTCCCAGACAAATACTATTATTTTTTTATTCCCTGTGAAAAATGGAAGGTTTTGAGCCAGCCCTTTGTTTCCTATTTTTGCTAAGATTTGCTAAGATTTTCAAACCTTGGAACTTTTTCCCTAAGCTATCACAAAAAGAAAAGAATATGGAAACCCCACCAGAAAATCAAAAGCTCTAAGCAATATTTTGCAAGTTACTCAACAGAGGAGAACAAGAAATACAGGAAACAAGGCCTGGAATCCAATACCTACTGAAAACAAGAGCATAAAAGAGCTATTAAGTATGCCCTAGGACACAGTTTTGAAAAGCTGTAGACTTACTCCTGAGGGCTGCTGGTAGTGTCCCAGCTGCTGAAGGCTATGGGGCACAGCCTGGCTCTCGTTCAGCGGTGGGCTATACACCCGCTGGATAGCAGGAGGTACTGGATCAGGCAGAGATGAGTAGATGACACTTTGCTGGCTGCTTTGGGAGTCTGAATAAACAGTGGACCCCTGGCCACTGTCAAATGTGCTGTCGGCTGAAAGAAAAATGATTTTATTAAAAGCTCAACAACTCCAAACATTCATGTAATGATTTTAGACCAAGGTCAGCATAGGTTTATGTAATTAGCATTTTTACTGCCCTAGCCTTTTCCATTATATAAATAAATTATACAACACAAATGTTATTTTCTACAAAAGGCACATGCTGCTTCTCTTAAGCCAGCAAACATCCCCACGGATTTCTGGGCATGATGGTATTTTAGGCACATTGATATTTCCTTTAAAGGGCATAAGGTTGACATTACAAATTGCAGATGTTTACTGATTTTGTAGGATGAAAGGAAATCCCGATTTTCATGTTCATAGCAGATCATGGAGACTTAGAGTCAGATCTCCCAGGGATGCACTGACTTTAACATCTATTTGTATTAGTAGCACTGAAAATTACAAAATTCTTTATATTATACACTTTATTAGTTCAGCAAATCATACCCTCTTGAGTATACAGTAATACTTCAAGATGCAGAACAGATAAAATAATTTGCAGGTTTGCAGTGAAGTAGGAGCACCATTCAGAGCTCTGTTGGAGTTTCTCATGCTCAGCTAAGTTTCCATTTGTCCAGCTAACCTATAGAATTGCACAGCTGCAGGTATTGGGCAAGCATCGTAACTTTTGTACCATGAAGTATTACTGATTTAAAAATGTCTTTTCACAACTTTTGAAGCTTGTAAAGTGCAGGTGACCAGCTCCTCTTAAGCATAAGCTACTGTTTTCTTCATTTGAGAAATGAAATGAAACAATCAAAATGGTAGCTGTAAGTATCCAAAAGACAAATAGCTCATAGCAGAGAATGAAAATTCAAAACTAAAAGAAAACAGCAACAAGGTTACCAAAAAGTGGCTTAAATTACAGCTAAGAAATGTTATTTCTTTCTGACACTTTCCATCTTCTCTTTTTTCCATATTTGAAATAAGGTTTTACTTATTTGCTGTTTAAATAAATTATTTTTTAATAGCACCAGAGGTGACATTTCTCCTCAGTACTCACAAGCTATTCTCCCAGCAGTTTGTTTTTGGTTGGTTGGTTGGTTGGTTTTTTTCCAAATTAAACTCCCTTCTGTATTTATTCAGCTTGTTTCTAAAAAGAGTCATCATGGTCCTGCTCTAAGAAGACAGGGATTTCTGCTGCATACACACTTCTATTTTATTACAAGCCATTATTTAAGACCTCAAAGAAATAAAGAAAAGAGTATGGTGGTAGAGTGCTAAAATAAAAGCTGTGAGTCAGTCTCAGATTTTTATAGAGCACCATGCATTGCACACATTAAGTTATTAATTTACATTTTTACACTTGACCTCAGATTATTATATGAATTGGCAGAACAGTAATTTATAGGGGTCTTAGGCTCCTATAAGAAAATGTTCAAGGACATCTGATAGTGAATTTGTCAAGTAATACCAAGTATTGTTTAGAAGTTAAGTAAGGGTAGGAAATAAACTGCATTGTGTGTTTATATTTAGTATAAAATTCTGCCAACTCATGTCCAACAGAACTATGGGAAGCTCATTGTATCACTGTGGGGAAAAAAACCACCGCAGCAGTCATAATTATGGTGTTTCTCAAAGGAATTAGCATGAAATCAAGTATCTAATAAAAAAAAAATGAAAAGAGATAAATTTAGCTTCAGAAAGCAAGCTTTGAAAATACTGCAATATTCTTAGTTGTATACAAATATGGTCATTTCTACGATCTTGTAAAAGTTTGTTTTCTTGAAGAGGCATGCTTGGTTATTTTAGTATTCAAAGCAGACCTCTGTATAGCAATTTATACAATACCTGAATTAAAGCAGCAACTGTGTCTTTGGTAAAGATAATGCACCTTTAATTTCTTATGCTTACATAAAAGTTCAGACTAGCAAAAATGAAATATTATTATAATAATTTAGTAGCAAAATATGTACATCAGATTTTATCAGAAAAACTGGATTTAAAAAAAAAAAAATCATAAAATTTCAAATCTTCCAAGCTAAAATATCCGGCAACATTTCCTTCAAGATGTTTAGAAGTACTAATAGATGAAGATTTCAATACCAGAGCTTGACACAGTAACAAAGATTGACTTCAGGATACAAAGACAGGGACAATTTACTTTAGGGAAGTAAAACCACTACTTCCTCATGGTTTGCTGTTTGCTGGAGGTAACTCTGATGCTCAGAAATAAAATGAAGAAACAAGCAGCTCTGCAAGCAAAGCCAGGTCATTTCTTACTCAGAGACAGACCAAAATCAGTGCTTGGAATTAGAACAAGAGATGCAAATCCACCTGCCTTCGAACAGCCCAGTGATCACTCTTGAATCAGTCCCCAGCTGAATGTAAAGAACTGTCACATCATTGGCTTGTAGCTACCAGGGCCTGGATGAATGAGAGCCACCACCTATTCTAACCTGCCATAAACAACCCCCTTGCTTCAAGGCCACAAGCTCAGGACTAGAGAGACAAGTGGAACAGAGACAGCACCTGCATCAGGCCCTGAGGGCCCCAATAATAATTAGCGTCAACCCTCAAGGTCTGATGCTCCCAAGATGTGTGACTAAGCCACAGCTAATATTCCTGCAAAACAGGGAAATCTTGAATTACATCATCTAACATTCTGAGATGGATTTTTTTTTCCTGCTCTAGACCTTTGCACAGCTTCACAAAAAACCTTCATGCAAGCTGTCAAGAGTAACTCACATAACACAAGAAACTCCAGCGATTTGGTTTCAGCAAGGTCTGCTTTTCAATGAATGTCACATTGCCAACATCATTTGAAAAAGCCACCAGTCACTCTGACCAGTTTGGTGCCAGGTCAACTTCTGTAGGCTCTGACATTGTTTTGCACAAACAGTATCGAGCATGTATATTTTTGTGTATAGCAGTAGGTCTTCTTAGTTTTCCATTTATAAATATATGATGTTTTCTGCATTTACTGCTAGTGAAGGAGGATCCATCTCCACATAATACAGTTTTTCCTGAAACTGTATTTCTTTCTAAATTGTTATGCATCTGTCCAAGATACTTGGGTTCTTGGAGCTACTGTGCAAAATCATGCACAGCAGCACATCTCACTGCTGAGCTCAGGCTGTTTTTGATTTTTACCCTCAGACATTCATCACCACGTGCACACAAAATGAACACGAGACTTACATGCAACAGATGTAACACTTGTGGGCAGGTTTTGCTGAAAGGGATGCTGGTCTGCCTCAGGCTCCTCTGACTCTGACAGGATGTGATGACCAGTGTGGGAAAGGTAGGTGACCTGGACCTGCTGTGCATGTGGCATCTTCAACTTCTCCAGACATTCAGAGTCCCGACGTTCCTCTGACTGCATCCTAGGCCAAATTCTCTCTCTTCTCCATAGTATTAATGCTACTCTGTCACGTATTGACTTCGCAACTATCTTGAGATCGTTTTCATGAAAAAATCCAGAGTCAATCTACAGAGGAGGTACAAACTTAGCAAGATCACATGCTTACACACACACATGACTCAAATCACTTCCTAACAGAGAAAATATCAGTTTGAAATAACATGAATTAGACATGTACTCCTCACAAGAACAGGAACTCAAGAGCTTGTTAGTTTGTTTTTAATTAATAATTTTATAACTAACCCAACACCAATATATAATTTGTGAGACCTGGATATATATGTGTATATATATAGGGTCAATTTCTTCACCAGTTAACATCCATTGAGAAGAAGAGAGCAAGTTTAACTGCAGATGGATTTCTCTTTTTTCTTTTTTTTTTTTTTTTTTTTCCTTTTTTTGAAAGACTAACAGAAGAGTCAAAAGAGAAAAAAAAATCTTTGAAAAATGCTCTGAGAACAAATGGAGTAAACCATACTACCCTGAAAACAGAATTCATTGCCTTAACCTTTCCAAGACCTTAACAGTTTCCCAAATTGCTGTGCTTGATATCACAGCAAGCCATGAAGGAAAAGATGTTAGCAGAATTTAATCTCAAATTACTTTCTTTTAAATGGTAAAGTCAGTCAGCATTGATCGCCTTTTATAAAGAAAAAGCCTATAGAGTCAAACACAGGCTGTTCACATTTGGCTGAACAGGGACCAGGCTTTCTCAGAATTCAACTGCTCAACAGATGAAGGGGAAATCCATCTTTGTGCTATTTGTTTGCATAATCTCTTACAGCACAGGGTATGAATTTTAGTTACTAATAATGACCTACCAGAGAACTGTCTTCTCGCATTACATTCTCAACGTGCATAATCTACTGATTTGGAAGCATTTGGCTATATGGAGGAAATCTAGAGGGTGGTGGGTTTTGTTTTGGTTTTGGTTTTGTTTTTTTCTTTGCTCTTACCCAAACATGAGACAGTTTTACAGCTTAGATTTTCACTGTTTAAAATCAATAGGTGTAAAGCAGCTTAAAATACAGCTGCACATGGATATGGTTATTTTCCACTGCCTATGCCCTCAGACCTCACTGACATTCCCGAACTAATGAGCCAGCGAATGCTAACGACAGAAGGGAGTTACTCCTAAGAACCACACAGGTCCAGAGAACCTTGTATGGTGTTAACTAACACACCCAACAGATTCTTCGTGACAAAGCACCAAAAATCTGCCACAACAACAATTTTTTTTAAACAATTCTTACTCCTACATCTCTATATAAAGAATGGTTGCCATTTAATGAAGACTTGCTATTTTAGAGTACTCTGCTTGGGAAAGGCAACTTGAAGTTGCAAACCAGCAGAACATTTCAAGCTTCTTTTGCCAAGTCATCTGGACAGGCTGGAACGTCTGACTACTGAAACCCCATCAATAATGATAAATACCCACCCATACTCAAAAGGTCTCCTATGTTCTCCTCTCCCACAATATATAAGGCAACATTAAACTGATGAAAGCACATGGCTTTACTGTTCCACAATTCCTATGGGCTAGAAAAAGACATCTAGGAATAAATGTCCCTTTTGCCTGTTCCCCCAACAGCTGCAAGTTTGAAAGCATTTCATATGCAATCACTCAGGTGACTGTTAATGTAATAATGAAATACAGATTTTAAAATTATTTGGGAAAGGGTATAGCATCACGGTAATCTGGCAGTGAGCCTTTAAAATATACTTTTAATGAGAATTATTTCCTCTTTCAAGAAAAATACCACAACTATAGGACAAGTAACCTACAGAACTTCAAAATTCCAAATATTTCCATAAATATTTAAGTGTAAAATGCAACAGCAAGTAACTGTACCAGAGCAAAGTTTAAACAAAATTAGTTCTGTAACAATACATTGCTTGAAAAATATTTTACCTACTGCAAACTAATGATGAGAAGACAGAGGAGCCTGAATTTCTCTCACTAAATTTAGACTCCATGGTGATAAGTCCAAGCATCGTAAGGCAACATTACCAAAATGAATGCCTCCTAAGCATAACAGGAATGGTGATGACAACATCATTAAATGGGATCCCTTGAGATTTAGATTATAATAGGCACATTTCTGCAAGCACAAGAAAATTCAGACCCTCGACTCAGTGCTTACGGATTCTAAGTCTCCATGATTTTAAGAAAACCTAAACAAAACTGCAGTAAAGACATGGTTAAAATACGAGTTCAGGGATTATATAGTGAAACCGGAACACAATGCAGTTTTTCTAAGAAAACCCCACAAGAAATTCACAGAAATACAGAAATTCATCAAGTTAAACTTATCAGTTAAAAAATCCAAAGCTTATTCCTAACTGTGCAGTAGCCTTGAATCTAGTTTCCTATTTATGTTTGGTTATAGACTGGCTGACCATACATTTTCCTCATCTACATTCCTCCTAAGTGACACCAACAGAATGATGGAAAGAAATGTTTTGAAAAACTCCGTGCAGAATATTTTGTGCCTGAACTTTTGAACTCTTCTAATTTATTCCAAGATGCTGTCTGAAACTAAACAGATTCCAAACAAATTTAAAGACATTCAACAGCTAACAAAAATTGTCAAAAGAGTTTTCAAGATATAGAAGTAGATGAGACCTCCATGGTCCCTAAGCTATTTGAAATGCCATTCCATGCACCTGTTTTCATGCTTGGTAAACAATATTTTTCAGTTACGAGTTCTTCCTCGTTCATCCCTTTCGTGCAGCACTCATTCTAAAATCAATGCAAACTGCTTAAATTAGACATCTGGAACAGTTTAAATGAAAGTTACTTTACCAGACTTGTTCCTGCTGTCCTTTGAGATTTATGCACTACTTTATATATAGACATTTTTGCCAGGAGAAGTTTATTTTACCATTTCTTGTGCAACATCATCAGGAGTTTCCTTCTCCAGATCAAAAGTAAACTCAATGGCTCCATTATCTTTGGGTTTTCCTTTAAGTTTCTTAGGATCTTCTACCCAGAGTCTTAAGGCAATAGAGGATTTATTACCATGGTCTTCTTCTGCAAGTTCCACTCTTACCCCAGTATCTTCAGCAAAAAAGGCATGGCTTAATAAATCTTTAATTTCATATCTGCAATGGATATAAAGAATATTCAAATTCAGCAAAGCTTAAGCAATTTCAAAGAGGTTTATGAGAAGAAACTGCTGTTAAAGGAGGAAACATTTACAGTATGTTTGGTGTTCAGCCATAACAACTTTGTGTTCTTAGCAAAAAGAGATGGTATTTTGAATGTTACTGAGGACTGCTGAAAAAATTATGTTTTCTATTTCACAAAGCTTTACCAATATTCATACACCATAAGCATGTACAGAAAATGCAGATTATAGCTTTCCTCAACTTTTCTTGAGTATCACATGAAAGGGTACTAAAAAAGAGGTTTGCTCTAGATCCCTAATACCTGTAGTTTTTAAAGTTATGAAATACTGAACAGTAGACACACTCATCTAGGACAGGACAGTATAAGAAGATTAGACTTTAAAGCCAATGCTGGAAACTGGCACAATTTGTTTCCATATCAAGAGGCTAATGAGTCAGTGGCGACTGCTGTAACAGCTTGTGATGAATCTACCATGTTGCATTTCTAGTTGACCTCCACCACACTCGATATTCCACACGGAGCCTCCTGAGTGAGATTTTATGAACAGTTATGCCACAACATGCTAGAATATGCTACCTCACATGTCCACAAAGAGGCTTCCTGACCTTATTCCTTGAAGCTAAGAAGGCTGAGAGACACAATGGCCTTTGTTCTATTATCCTGACACTACATGCCAGGCAAGCAGGCAATCTTTTACATTTGTATTTCCATTCTGCACTTTCTCCTGCACAGAGAAAACCCAGAGGCCAGAATAAAAATCCAGACAGCCTGAAATCACTGTGTACACATTGTTTAATACAAAACTTGATTACTTGAAACAAACCTTTCTTCTTTATTTTTGCATATGCACTCCCCAATTATCTCCTTAATTTCAGGATCAGTAACTTTCTCAAAGCTTGCTGGCTTTATACCCTAAAAGGATAGAGAAAAGCAATTTAGTTTAAAAAAGAATCAAAATAATCTCTTAATTAAAGGTATTTTTCCTACATTTTGCAGTCAATCTAACCCTTGGAATAACTAATATTTTAAAGCTGTTAGTCTCAAGGCATAAATAAATTGAAGACTTAAGGCTACCATATTTCTAAGTACCATTACACTTCAAAATAAGCACACTGGTTTGTACCTGAACTCAGCCATACACAGGGCAAATCTGTCTTTTTCTTACCATCCTTTGCAAACCTTACCTTTATATCCTGTGGACTTTGAAGTCAATATTCAAGAAGCAGCCAATTTTAATTTTTTCAAATAACTCTACTCTGAAATTATTCCTTTCATGGCTTTTGCCTTAACTCTCAAACCACTAAATGAACAGAAAGATACAATCTTTTTTTCCTTCAGATAGCTAGTCTTCAGATAGTCAAAAATATCTTGGAATATTCCATACTCCTGTTTCTCACAAATCTTTTGCTTTTCTGTGTCCCGGTCTCCAACACTACTCCCTCCACCCCCCCCACCCAAAAAAACAAACAAAACAAAACAAAACAAAACAAAACAAATAAAATAAAATAAAAAACCAAACAAACAAAAACCCCCAAACAACCAAACGCACACACAAAAAAACCCCAAACAAACAAAAAAAAACCACCAACCAACCAACCAAAAGCCCACTTCAAATCAAGCAGGGGTGCAGCAGAATATGCCCAACAGCTCTGTGTTGTTCTTGCATTTCCCCATCTCACCGGGGATGAGTGGCAGAGCAGGTGTAACCTATAAATCAACCTATAAATCAAGTTAAACCTCTGTCAAATATTAACATTTTTTGCTGGGAAGTGTTCAGTTCTGGATTTGGAACAGTGTACCTATGAGCATGGCCTTCCAAGGAGAAAATCCAACTGTTCATTGCAGAAGAAAACTTATGAGAAGAAGAATCTGCTTCTCCACATAGGGAGCTTTGACTCGACGTAGGTGCAATCGGAGTGGTTTACAGTTTTTCAGGTTAAGTGGGGTCGTTTTAAGAAGATGGAAAGGCTTTAAAAGAAACACACACACTAAGGCAGTCATAGGTCAACTATGTGTGCCTCCTAATATTTCAAGACCAAGATCTTAACTCAGCATGATCCTCCTCAGGGTATATAGCCTCATAATTAAAATAACATACATATCTGACAACATAAAGAGAGACTGTAGGACAAGTAGGATGCAAGTTCTTAGGCTAAATAGTAATGTGATTAATAGTAATTAATTACATTAATGACGTAATAGTATATATTACATCATCTTTCTGTCCATGTAATAAAAGCATACTAAAAAAATAATTTCTGGGAATATTCAGCAAGACAAAGCTCCTCCCACAGTCAACGAGGACAAGGTTCTTGAATGTCTGAGGAACCTTAACATTCACAAGTCCATGGGGCTTGATGAGATGCACCCCAGAGTACTGAAGGAACTGGCTGATGCAGTTGACAAGCCACCATCCATAATACAGTGACTGGAAGAAAGGAAACATCACACCCATTTTTAAAAAGGGTAAAAAGGAAGACCCTGGGACCTGTCAGCCTCCCCTCTGTGCCTGGGAAGATCATGGAATACATCCTCCTAGAAGAAATGCTAAGGCACATGGAGGACAGGGAGGTGATTCAAGAGAGTCAGCAGGGCTTTACCAGAGGCAAGTCCTCCCTGACCAATCTGGCAGCTTTCTACAATGAAGCAACTGCACTGGTGGACAAGGGAAGAGCTGTGGACGTCATCTACCTTGACTTTGCTAAGGCCTTTGACACTGTCCCCCATAGCATTCTCATTTCTAAGCTAGAGAGATATGGGTTCGAGTTTTGGACTGTTCAGTGGATAAGAAACTGGCTGGACGGCCACACCCAGAGAGTATTGGTCAATGGTTCGACGTCCAACTGGGCAAAAGTGACCAGTGGGGTCCCTCAAGGGTCCATACTGGGACCAGTGTTGTTTAACATCTTCATCAGTGATATAGACAGTGGCATCGAGAGCATCCTCAGCAAGTTTGCTGATGATACTAGGCCAGCCAGATGGACGTGGAGAGGCTGGAGAGGTGGGCTCAGGTGAACCTCATGAGGTTCAACAAGACCAAGCGCAGAGTCCTGCATCTGGGGTTGGGCAATCAACATTACCAATACAGGCT